AGAGAGAGAGAGAGAGAGTCAAGATACATATCCACTTCATAATTGAACTTTAGCACCACTGAGATGATCGATTTAAAGGGTTTTCAATACTTGAATTGCAATTTTTGAAAAGTCATAAAGTGTGGTTTTACTTGTTTTGATAGGGTTCCAGCCCTATGAAACCATTTTCCATTAAAGTATACTATTTTTTATATAGTGCAATGCAACTACAAACTATGGACTAAATCACCATCGAACAAATTGATTGGATAATGATGGGAGAAAATCAGTGACCCTTGTTTTGTTGATACTGGAGGTTACAACTGTGGATATTCCAATTCAAAATTCGAAAATGAGAAGAAGAATTATGAGCAGTAAAGGTGCCTATCCTTTTTCTTTAGGTAGTTTTGGATCCTATCCAACTTTCGGTGAGATGGTATTGACAAATATAGTTGAATTATTATTACTTCTCAAAGTTGTTAAATGATCCAAAAGTGATCGAATCTTTTCTATATAAAGCCTCATAGAAAATTTCCTACAAACCACATTTCCTCACAATACGGTGAAAAAAGGAAAGAAAACAGAAACGAAGAAAGGAGTAAAAAGGAGCATAGAGGCGAGGGAGAAATTTGTATAAAATTTCAGGTTTGCTACCATATTATGTGAACCATGACGTGCGTAGTAAACCAATAAATAATAATATTAACAAAATAAATAAGGGAACGCTGTTTATATGACCCTACCCACATATATAGTATATGTGGCCTCTAGTCTCAGCCATCAGATCTAAGTAGATGGCTAAGCTTGCTTGAGTCACAATGTCACAAATTGGTTTTTAACCGTCATATCTTGATTGGATGGTTTAGAGTTTTTTATTTTTAATCTTTATTCTATAAATCATTTTCAAATAAAATTTAGGGTATCCATAGATCTGATTGGGACGCACATGAAACAAACAATAATAAAATATTTTCGATGATGAATAATTATCAGAATACCCGTAAAAATTTAAAGGGCATTTTGATTATTTATTTTTACAGAAAATATTTATTTTTTATTTTTCCCAAGTTCACTCTAATTTTGTGATGGGACGCCATCCAAAAATATTTTGCAGAAAAGAAATGAAAAATAAAATAGTTTTTGGTATGACATTGGGGTATGAACAATCATAGTTGTTCGATTCAGATCGAATCGAACGATTAAGAAACACATTAACTTATATGTTGTTGGGGCCACATAGAAACATTTCCCAATAAAAAATGCTTACTTTAATTCTAAAATGAAAAGGAAGAAGAAGAGCAAGAATTTTGGTCTGAATTTTTCTCGTTATTCACAAGTTTGTATTAACCTTTGTAAAATAGAGAGGAGAGAAGGACAAGAAAAAAAAGAGTAAGCAAAGGCCTTTTACATGGAAGATCTCATAGTTCATATTTGCATATGCCAACCTCAGGGATGACGAAGAGATCGAGAGTCGTCGAACTTTCCCTTGATATAGTAAGAGAGCAGCTCATGACCAATGGGTCGAAACTTGAAGCCAAAAGGAAGAGAATCACCTCCCTTCCATATTCTCACCGCTTATGTTCTCTCTCATTTTGGCTGCACAATGTTCCCACGATCCAACTTAGTTGGACGGTGGTGATTGCATAGAAAGTACATCCTTCTTTAGTTTGGAAAAAGTTTATATAGAGCCTAAGCTCTAAACAATCAAATTAGAGCCTACCTCAAAACTTTCACTAGATGAAGTTGTTTTGATGGCCAAATATCATCAAATTGATCATCTCGACATCAAGATGCATGGACATGAGAAAAAAATGGATTTCAAGTTATGGATATAGTGCATCTTCTAATGCATTTTTAAAATGTCAATTTTCAAGATTTTCAAGTTTTCATAGAACTGTTCAATCTACATTAGTTTTGAAGCGTTTAAATTTATAACTAAAGGTGGAAATATAATTCAAGGTAATCACAAAAATTTCCAGTATTGAAACCATATTTCTCAACACTATTTGAAGGTATGCTCTAACTTTATTGTTTATAGCCTTGGCTCTATACAAACTGCACCCTTTTAGTTTTGGTGTATCATATATAATGGTACTTTTCTCTTTTGTGTTTTTTTCTTTTGGCTTGATAAACCAACTGATTATATCACAATTAGTAGATAAGCAACTCGACACCCTAATCTGCTTTTTAAGACAGATTTCAACGAAACTGTTATCAAGTTTAAATAGGTTGCAAAATGAATACCCAAAGAAAGATTAGGGCGAGCATACGGAGTCCATAGGGCAAGGGGATGGGAGTCCACCAATAGAAAGAACTAACAGACTAAATTTTAAATGGAACTTAAATGTGCACAGGAGGAAAAGGGACTCAAGGGGTTACATTCATCTCACTTACAACTACTCGGCTCCTAGCAAAACAACTTCTAATTAGGCTTAAGCTAGAGCTATTATACAAGGATTAAGACCCACTTAGAATAGAAACTTTAAGGGGATAAATAAACTAAGGGTGACTTTTTGAAATGTGATCCAAATGGTGTACCCGAGAGGCTTCAACTCCAAGGAGGCTTGCTACTGAGTGGGATCAATCATCATCATGGGAAGCTAATACGGAATCAGATGGTCTGTCTTAAGGAGGTGTTAACCATACCGAATGTAGAAACAAAATAACAATCCACAAAGCAAAAAAGAAGAAATAAATATCAAAAGAAAGAGACAATCAACCACAACGCAAAGATATACGTGGTTTCTCAACATGCCTACGTCCATGGGGAGATGAGTGCTTCTTTACTAGCAATAGAGAATAGGGTTGCAATAACTCTCTTTCTCACACCTCTCTCTGCTTCCATATTACAAAGAAATATCTGTTTTTCCTTAACCCTAAAAGAACCCTCATCACAACAATATATATAGTCACAAGTAGATGGTACAAATTACCGAAATATCCCATGTACAGATACAAGCCCTTCGGGCTTTTAACGGCTATCCGGAGTCGTCTCTTGACTCCACCGTGGCAAATCTATTTCCTCATAATACAAGACATCAATCCTCAATACTGAAATGGTGGTAAGAGGCCCCTTTTCACTATAGTTCAATTTTACTTGAGGACTGGCCTTTACAAACTATCTAATCTGTAATTTTTATAGTAAATGAAAAAACCAAGTTTTTTATAGCAAATGAAAGAACCAAGTTTATATTCAAATAGAAATACAATGACCATGACAAGGGTGAGTAATAAGTGTGTTATCCACAATTCTGTTATTAAAGAAACTGAATTTATCATGAAGAAATGGAAGATGCAACTAGAGCTTAAGAATTAATTCTCTCTCATTGGTATCGGACAATTACAATTAACTGTTAGGGGGAAAAAAAAAAGGGCTACCCAAGAAGCCTTCCATTGTTCTCTTAATCAAGGGGTGAAGAGGTTGAACATATACAGAAGATCTTTTTCATTCACAAGAGGATGAGTGGTCCAGATCAAGTTTACCTTCACCTAATTGGTGAGATAGTGTCCCCTAGTTTAATATAGGCCATCCATTTTATGAAGTTTGAATGGATGGCTCAGATACTGGCAAGCCTGTACCATCTTAAATATGGCCCACCATCTAAATCCAAGTCCAAACTTACTACTCTAAGTGCTTCCGGCGTACTCTGCGCCACTATAGAAGTGCAAATCTCTCTCTCTCTCTCTCTCATTAACCATAATTTACATTCAACGGCACCCCAAGATCTCTCTCTCTCTCTCTCTCTCAACAATCAATCCTACTATACATTCAAAGCCACCACATGTTTTTTTACTCCTCTCTCTTCTTTGGATCAACCTCACAATATATCATGAAACACACATTATATCCAACTATAGCTAGGGATCTTTGTCACCCCTCTCTCTCTCATCATCTCCCTCACGGGCACAACCAAACACCCGTAGATAGGGGTAGCATGCACAACCAAACACTTGTAGAAATGAATAATCTGGTGGATCTTAAAGAACTTGTCAATGGGTGTTTCATTTCCAATAAAGGGAGAAGGGAGTCTATTTATTAAAAAAACCGCACATTCAAAGGCACGATTCCAGTAACTAAATGGTATTGACTCATGGACAAGTAAGGACATGCCTATTTTGACAATATGCATATGTTTTCGTTCAGCAGAACTATTCTGCTCATGAGTATGTGGGTAAGATTGAAAATGCTCTATCCCACAAGAAGCTAAATATGGAGATAGATGATGATATTCTCCACCCCAATCTGTTTGTAAACATTTGATACGTTTTTCAAATAAATTTTCAACCAAAACCTTAAATTTTAGAAAAGTGTCGTAAACATCTTATTTTTAAAGAAGATAAAATATCCATGTAAATCGACTAAAGCCATCCAAGAGATGAACATAATAACGGTAGCCTTCTTTATATGCAACTGGTGCAGGTCCCCATACATCAGAAAATATTAAACCCAATGGCTTAGTACAAATAGTGGATGAGTGCAAAAAAAGGGGTTTATGACTTTTCCCTTTCTGACATGCCTCATAAACATGGAGAGCCTTATTACAAGCATTGCTGGATGGCGCAGTCGATTTTTCCATTCCGTTATTGCAACTTTTTCTCCAAAGAATGTTGAACCCGTACTCTTATTATTCCTCTTCTTTGCTACTTCCAGTTGGTATAAACCATCCTTAGTCGGCCTGTGCAATAGAGCTCTCCCCATTGATCGATCCTTTACAACAAAATGAGAAGGGTGAATTTCAAACCCAACATCATTATCCTTCGTAAAATAATTAACTGACAATAAATTGTGGCCAATGGAAGGAATATGTAGAATATTTTGAAAGCAAATGTAGCATTATTTGTAATGAGTTTTGAGGAACCAATATTTTTTATGCTCAAACTTGTACCATTGCCAATCTTTATCTATTTTGGCGCTGTATATTTTGAGTGGAGAGAAAGATTGGAGAGATCAGCAATAATGTTGTTAGAAGCTCCTGAGCCTGGATGCTGGAATGCTAGAATGGTCCTCATGAAAAGCGTTTAGGTTTACACCCGAATCAGGTTGAAATGCATGGTTAAAGCAGTGCCGACATTGGAGGACTGACTGCCCACACGATTGCATACTTGGCAAGATATGCAGGGACGATTACCTTGTTGATTTCCAAAGTGGGAGTTATTATTTTGCTGTTGACCATCGCCTTGACCACGACCATGACCACGACCACGACCATGGCCACGGCCACCGTGTCCACGATTTGGAAACTGACTGCCACACCCCGTTCTTGAGTTGTAGTTTGGTGTGGTTGCAAGATTGGCCGATGGAGAGCCAATGTCCAAATAGCCATGTTGGTCGGAGAGTTGAATATCTTGGTTTAGCAACATATCATAGAGATCATTGAGGTTAATTGGATCAAACTTTGTAGTCATAGACATCTGAAATGAATTATACTCAAAGGGAGTCCACTAAGAATGTGAGGTATCAAGTCATCCTCAAACACAAGCTTTCCTACTGCAACGAGATGATAAGTTATGTTTTTTGCTTATTGAAAATAATCAGCAATGTTCAAGGATCCCTTCTTGGTAGTTTACAATTGGAATCACACTTACATTATACATGCTCATGAGTGATTCGAAAACGAGAGTTATAGTGTAGTCCATACATTTTGGGAGGTGGTAAGACCCATGATCTGGGCATGGACGCCCTCTATGAGGGAGATAATTCAGCTAAGTAACAGCTGGTCTTGTCACTTCCAATTGAGAAACGCATGGCTGATCTTAGGCTCCTCATTATTTTCAGCTGGAAGAAATTCAGCACGGCAATGGAGGGAGCCATCCACATAGTCAAGAAGATCATACCATCGAAGAATGGGCATGAGTTGAGATTTTCAAAGCAAGTAATTGGTAGTTGTGAGTTTGTGGGGAAGAAAGTAATGGAGGTTATTAATGGGAGGGTTGGGTTTATCGTCAACACGTGTAGGTGCATTGCTAGTAGGTGTGGTCATTGTTGACTTTAAGGAAAAGGGTAAAAATATATATATGGGGAGGATAGGTGGGCACAAAGAAGCTGCTGGATGTTAAAGAGAGAGAGGGTTTAGGTGGAGTTAGGTAGAATAATAGATATAATATGATCAGGCTAGAGAGAGAGACGTATTTAAAAAAAATAAAAATATATGGCTTAACTAGTAATGAAGAGAGGGATTTGTACGCAGAGAGAAGAACTTGGGTTAAGGAACATCTTCAAGATGGTAGGCTGAGAGGATAGACTCTGTTTTGATACCAC